ATATATTTTTGTACCAGGGATTGAACTCATGACCTTGCACTTGTGAGGCAGGCACGATGCCACTGAGCTACATCCCTGGTGGCTGATATATTTTAAATAAGATAATTTAGGTACACATTTGGCCAACTTCCCAAGTGTAATAGGTATCACTTTTCCAATTTCCCCAAATGCCTATTGATGATAATTAATGACTGTTCTATTAATAATAGTTAATCGCTAATTTTGTGCACTAATTTTGTGCTGTCCATTGTATTAAGTACTTTACATTTTCATTCACTAACTTATTCATTCACCAAGCTTTTTCCTTCCTTTTCTTTTTCTCAGTGTTAAGGATTGAAGCCGAGACTGTACGTCCCAGGCAAGCACCTCTCCTCAGAGCTGCCAGCCAGTCCTCAGCAACAACAGAGAGAAAACTTGGAGGCCGAGGATGCTGGGGCAGACCTGTAATCCCAGCACCTGGGAGGCTGAGACAGGACCATACCAAGTTTGAAATCAGTCTTGGCTGCGTAGTGAGTTCTAGGCCAGGCAGAAATACATGATAAGACCATGTCTCAAAACAAAACCCTACAGAAACAAAAGTTATTTGTGTTCTGAAGTGCAGTTGTCTCCCAGTTGATTATTAATTCCTTCTGGGTGGACTTTGTATGTCCATCCTATGCTTAGCAGGGCTGATTCCTGAGGTGGAATCAGTCACTGGCCTGGAGGACATAAGCATTTTAACATTCCTGTCAGTTGTCAGTCATTTCTTCATGTAGGTTTTAGAGAGGGGATTACAAATTCTCCAGTATGTTTAGTTGGTCAACTTGGACCTTGGCAAAATTGTTTTGGTTTGGATTTTTGGAGACAGAGTGTCACTATGTAGTTCGGGCTGGCCCTGAACTCACCATATCACTCAGGCTGGCCTCAAACTCACAGTGATTCTCCTGCCTCAGCCTCCTTCGTGTTGGGATCACAGGCGTGTACTGCCATGTCCAGTGCAGCATATTCCTCTTTGAACAATCCCTAAGGAAGTCGGTTGCTTCACTTTTTAATGGGAAAGTGGAAGAACTGAACTCAAGCTTGTCCAACACCCTCTCCAGCCCTAAAGGCACCAAACAGTTTTTCGAAGCTTTTAAAAAAAGTTAGGAGGCCGGGGATTTAGCTCAGTGGTTTTGCCACCTGCTGCGCAAGTGCAGGGATCCGAGTTCGATCCCCAGTACCAAAAAAATAAAGAAGTCAGGAAGGAAGATACCTGCTTCTTTCAGAAGCTGCCTAGAGAGCCTGCTAGATGGGTCTTTCTTCTGGATGTCTTCCTTCTCTGGTGTTGTCTTTTCTTGCCATTGTCTTTGGCAAATTTGTGGCTAACAGTCTTTTTCATCTTTGAAGTATTTGCCACTGTTTACTTAACATCCCAGCCACTCCAGAAGAGAAGGACCCGAAGAAGGGACCGTCTGCCTGGTTTTCAAACTCTGTGGCCTGCGCAACTCCAGGCTGCCAGAGCACCTACGTTCATTTGTCTATTGTGCCAGTTTGAAGTTACATTAAAGCTTGTGGGCTTTTATTCTTTCTCTCCTGAAATCCAAGGGGAATCTGCTGTCCAGACTGCTTGGCATGTATACTTGACTTCAAGAGGTTTACCACACAGCTATAAAGACTTCGCTGGGGAATCCATAAGATGGTCTCAAAGTCGTCAAACAATGAGAATGACATTTTAGCGTCAAGCTTTGGAAACAATTTTCTTTTTTTCCTCTCTCTTGCCCTTAAGTACAATTTCAAAAGCATTAGGTGCAGATTTTCTGCCTTTGAACTCACTATGTAGCCCAGGTTGGCCTCAAACTACTGGTAATCCTCCTGCCTCAGCCTCCCAAGTGCTGAGGCTACTGGGGTGTGCCACTATACCAGACCCATTGGCTTTAAAAATGTAATACTTCACTTCTAGACAATCTTAGAATTGGTCCCTGAGAGATATTTCTGTTGCATCTTCCCATTGGGTACAGGCCGTGTGAACTCTGAACTCTTTGGGGGCTACAACTTTTCTCATCTCTGGTGAACCAACATGTCTGAGTGTGAAGTGCAGCAGAGTAGGCTGAGGTCAGAGGTCCCACTGATATTGACAGTGGGTCCATGGTCCCCCCATGTGCCAGTGGCAAAATTAAGGTTCATTACTCTGGCGACTCATATACAGAAGGTACCTGGCATGAAACACCAGTTGGAAGTGTACCTGGAGAGGTGGCTCTATGACCTCCCCAAAGGCTGTGAGGTTTTGAACTGGGAGAATAACAGGAAGCTGTAGAGGGCAAGGCTAATCTAGCCTAGATTTCCAGAGGAGGCTTGGAGTGAGGAAGAAGAGGGGGAGTGTGGAACTCCCATGGAGGACCTCACTCTCTAAAGTAGGAGTTTCTAGGCTCATGTCTGTAATCCCAGCACTAGGGAGGCTGAGGCAGGAGGATCACCATGAGTTCAAGGTCAGCTTTAAGTACATAGTAAGACCCTGTCTCACAAAAAACCAAAAAGGAATCCTGATGCACATTCACATGAAGAAGTAAATAATAATGTGGCTCATTTTCAGGAAAGAGGCTTTGGTGTGGACCAAGAGGGGAAAGCTTTCAGGCATTTATCAACTCATGGGATTTGGGTGAGAGGGAGACGTGTTCACAGAAAGGGGTGGAATGTGCCTGACAGAAACAGAGGCCTCTCCACAGGGCTTCAGGGACTATCGACCTGCTCATGCTGTCACTGCCTCTGTTATTCTTGCTTAATTTTCCCTTAGCTTCTCCCTCTCTCTGTTAATTTTTAGTTTTCTTTTCTTTTTTTCCTTGAGACTGAGTCTCTAACAATTCTATTCTATTGAGAGAAGAGGATTGCTGCAAGTTTGAGGGCAGCCTGGACTACCTAGTGAGACCCTGTCTCAATAAAAAAAAAAGCAAAGACAAGATTGCATACAACTTGATCTTAATTATCAAGGGTCATATATCATTATTAATTATGAAAAATATATGTTCATCACAAAAAGATCTAGGGTGCATAATACATAAAACTGTTATCTCTGGATGATAAGATTCTGTTGAAGGCTTAGTTTTTCTCAGTGTTATCGTTTTGTATTTTCCAGAGTTAACTTTTCTGAACATTCTCTTTTCAATCAGAAGATAACACACACACACAAATAAAATCATCGGTAAGTATTGTTTCAGGGAGACCAGGGTCTTACTCATTAAGCCCCTAAGGTCTGGCCCTTGGGCCATGTCCACTGGGCTTCTGTCGTCCTTAATGAGTGTACATCACAGCAGATACCTGCCAAGCTGTGGATTTTTAATAATTCCACTTCCTTCTTCTTTAAGTGAGAAGGCGGTCAGTGCCCTGGGACTATGGGTCACCTCAGCACTGGGTGGCTCTGGCCCCGACAGTCGAAGCCTTGCACCTGGTAATCTCTGCCCTCCAGAGCTGTTAGGGGAACCAGGTGCCATCACCCCTGTGGGGACACTGGAAACCGACTCTCCCATTATTTCCTGTTGTGTTCCTGAGTCCCCTGGGCTTGGCGTCGCTAGCTTTTCTCTCCCTTCCCGTTGACAGGGAGACTTCTCTGGTGTGCTCACTGGGGCTTTAGCCCACTGAGTTGTGGATAGAATCAGCTGCATAGCCACAAAGTAGCATTTATTTGTAGTTGATACTAAGTTACCTGTTTAAGGCCTAGAAATGGCACCATCAGTGTTTTCTTTGCTTAAAAGTGGCATAAACTGTTCCATGTTTTTGTTTATTTTTCCCTCTCCCTCCTCCCTATCTCTCTTCCCCTCCCCCTCTTCCTCCTCGATCTTTGCCTTGTTTTGCTGCTGCAGACTGAACCCAGTAATCCGCACACACGAGGCAGCCTCTCCACCACTGCCCGCGCGCCGACTCCTCTTCCATTTTCCTGAGATGGAGAATACTGAGTACACGGAACTTGGGCTAACTCTACAGGACATCGACCGGAATCTACATTTCTGTGTACCGAGTCTAGAGGTTTGTTTTTTCCCCGGCAAGGAAATCCGGGCTAAAATCCCAAGTCTAGCCTCAGTGGCTCGCCTGTGGTGGAGTTCGCCGGGCCTGATTTGCTCGAAGAATGAGCCTTCGTCTCTCTCCTCCCCGGGTTCCGGGTTTGGTTTTCTCACACAGAAACCATGAGAACCTGATGCCAATGCGTCCAGTTGGAAAGGGAAACATCCATGTAATTACTGGGTGTTTCGTCTACACAATGCGAAAGGAGAAGTGGGCATGATCTTGTTTCTCCCCAGGTCGACAGTTGCGCTTTGTTTTGTCGAACTTTGGGCTGAAATGATTTGTTGACTGGTATTGTGTGAGCCAAGCCAGCTCCACAATGCTTCCGTGACTGTTAGGAGGAAAAGTAGCACGTGAAGTTTGAAAGGATAATTACATCGCCAGCCGGGAGACTGGGTCCGGCTTTGTCTGCGGTGCGCTACGTGACCCTGAGCAAGTCCTTTCAGCTCAGGCCCTCTCCTGATGGGAGGCTCCGCCCGCGCCCGCAGCTGCCCTGGGAATGAGTCTCCGACCTGGGGGAGAAGGGAGCTCAGTGTGATCCCCAGGGAGGAGGTGGTGACTGGTGTTTTGGTTATACCAGGGCCTCCCTTTGCAGCCCAGGCTAGTCTGGAACTCCAGGTGATCCTCCTGCTTCAGCTTCCCAAGTGCTGGGATTATAGTCTTGACCACCTCACTTCGATTTTTACTTTTTTGGAAACAGCTCACAGTTTTTGGTTGGATTTTAACTTAATTTAAATTTGTTATTATTATCGTTGTTGTTGTTGTTACTGTTGTTATTATTTGTGGTGCCAGAGATTGAACCCAGGGCCTCAATTATGCTAGGCAAGTTCTGTAACACTTGGAATTTTATTTATTTATTTATTTAGCTTTTCTGAGACAGGGTTTGGCTATGCAGTTCAGGCTGGCCTTGAATTCACTATGTAGCCCAGCCTGGCCTCTAATTCACAGTGAGCCTCCTGGTTCAGCCTCCTGAGTGCTGGGGTCTCAGGTTTGCACCAACACAGTTGGTTTGAATTTTAATTTAATTAATTAATTTTGATTTTTTTGAAACAGGGTCTTGCTCTGTAGTTCAGGCTGGCCTCGAACTTGTGGCAATCCTCCTGCCTCAGCCTCCCAAGTCCTGGAATTGTGGGTATGTATCACCACACCCAGCTAGAATTTTAATTTTAAAACATCTTTTTTCTGTTTATTGTTACAAATTATATGATTTTTTTTGTGCTGAGGATCAAACTTGGGTCCTTGTGCTTGCAAGGCAGGTGGCGGAACCACTGAGCTAAATCCCTGGCCCAAAATCTGCTAGCATTCTTTTTTTTTTTTTTTTTTTGATGATAGCCATTG